CTTTTATACTTTCACACGTTCGTCTCCATTCATAAATTAAACTGCTCATTCACAAAATCAGCGCGAAAGTTTCTGAATGGTCATGAGTTAGCGAATGGCCTAAATTTAGAAATAGGAAGCAATCCTGCATGTTTCCGACGCCATTGGGGTCATACTGCTCATGGTTAATACTATTCGAGTTAAATTTCATCCGGTATGTGTAAAAGCCATTCAATTTAAATGTTTCATATGTGGAATGGTTGACAATTTTGACTGGAAAAGCTTAATTTAGTACTAGCCTAGCGAAAATCGTCATTACCAGACCTATTTTGATGTCACCATTATCATTATGATACCACAACGTTAAACTGCGCGATACGAAAATAAAGGTTTATGTTGCCATATTTATTTACTTTTTCAAATCCAAAGTTCGATGAAATTACCCCTAATTTTGATTTCCATAATACTATTTTACAGAAATAAAAAAATATTAAAGCTGTATGATACAATTTTATAATTAAATAACTATAAACAAACTATTTAAAAACGAAATTTCAATTTATATTTCATAGCATTTAGAAATGTGGCAAGTGTAATTTCAATAAAAAGCTGTTGCTCCCAAGACAGACAGTCATCGATTTATTGCGTTATTCAAATTATTTTGAGCTTGACCTAGTATTGATCTTTCCAGTACAAGTTGATAGGTAGTACCAATTTCAGTTTTGAGTCATACATCTATTTGTGGATTGGTATGAGGTAGGTACCGACAAAATTTATTAATTTTATTGAACCTTGGACGGCGGATTCAGTCTGCTTTGGTGCTATTCAAAGTTGGTGTCATTGCGCTAATAATGAGATCTGTTTTCTATAATTCTGTTAGTTAATTGTCTCCCCTTTTAACCAAGAATAAACAGGTCAGGATAATGAGGTCTCGAGTGAGGGAATGATCAAACCCCAATAAGCTCATGTCAATACTGTTTTTTTTTTCACTCTATCGGTTCTCCCGTTAGGTTTCTTTCTACTGTAGTAAAAGCAGGGTGGACCAACTCTAGGGGACAAAATGGTAAGCAAGGTATTAATTTGCTACTATATTGTTATTGCTCCACTGCCATTTTTCTGATCATTTAGGTCATATTCACGAAAGCACTGGCGAGAAATGTTCAAACCATACTTTCCAATGCAGGGGTGGGCAATCACTTTTCTGAGTGTGCCAGTTACAGATGATAGACTTGGTATTTTGGCCGCAAAATGAACCAATCGGGGTCGTTTTGACACGATTGGACAAATGCTAACCGCTCATTTTGCCTCAAGGTACGGTACCAAGAGAGTAAATCATGCGTCTTTTCTGTAGCTAAAACAATAGGTATTTGCTGCAGTTGGTACAGTAAATACCATTGAAAAATTAGCAACAATATCGCCGACCCCGACCGTATTTCCTAGGGTGTGAATGCCAGATGTTCTGATGCCCTCTGGTTGCGGTTGAGGAGTGGGATAAGTTATATCATTGCCTCATCTTCAAACTTATCCCATCCTAGGTTAAAATGAACGTAGTTTAATAGAGCGGGAAATTATTGATGAGACGATAGCAGGGTTGTACCGGCACTTGGGTACCAAAGAAATACATTTGGAGTATAGGTAATAATGTCTTACCGAAATTGTATAGACTTAAGGCTATGGTTAGTTATCATAGTATAATACTTTACAAGTACCTATATGAAAAGCGGATTTCAGTATCTACATAAGTAAGTAAACAAGGCGAAAGGGTGCAGTTCAGTACACAATACACTAGTACAGAGCTACTCAACTGGCGGACCGCGGTCGGAATTCGGACCTTTCGACCATTTAATTTGGACCGCGTCTGCTTGTTTATTTTGGCAGCATAAGCATCGTTTTAGTTTTAGATTATTTTGATACAATTTAAATACACAGCTATACAGTTTGTCGTACTGGTACCGATGTGCGACATTTGTGTCCATATTTGCGAGCCATTCATTGCTCTTGTATTTGGTTTATTATTGCATTTGAAGTTTCGTTTATTTGATGAAATAAATTTTCTGTAATGTCCGGACCCCAGTAATTTTGAAGTTTCGTAAACGGACCTTTGGTGGAATTAGTTGAGTAACCCTGCCCTAGTGCACGACATAAGTTTAGCTAGTTTTTCCCTGAAGAAGGGCCTGCAGGGATTTAAATGGCGAAACGCGGTATCTTGCCCGGTTTCCAGTCCAGATCTTGTATAGGAACAGTTTACCATTCAATTTTTTCATACGTGTCGGTATGGACCTCCATAAGTATGCGCACCAAGATGGCGCACAACCTGAACATAGTATGTGTGTAACGGTTAGGATTCAGGTTGTGCGACATCTTGGTGCGCATACTTCTGGAGCACCGTCGATATTCTATCAAAATTTATGAATTCGAGATTAGCTACTTTTGTGCTGTAATGTTTGTAAACGCAATACCGGTGCGCGAAACCAACTATATCACCGATATGATGTATGATTGATCTCAAGGTAGGGCAAAGACGACAAGACTGCTTGCATTATCATTAGTTGCCTTGCGCAAAACGAACAATACAAGGTGGCCCAGAAGTAGGTATACAGTTATTTTATTTATTTTTTATTACCTTCCAAGCAGCTAGAAAACTAATGTAAAATTCACACTAGATTTATTATCTAAAAAAATAAGCAATTTTTGTGGTACTTAACAAGTAACATAAAGTGAACTGCAAGCATATAAAATAGTTTAATAACTGTATACCTAATTTTGGGCCACCCTGTATGGTTCTCTCGGAGTTTAGGCGAAGAAGTAAGACTGCCTGTACTATCTTGCTGTTGTGCAGCCAATAATAGCCGGTACCAGTATGAGGTAGAAGCAATTGCATGAATTTATTTTGATATCATTGTAGCATTTGAAATGTTAGGTAAATACTTTCAACAGTTCACTCGTGGTGATTAGAACAGTCAGGCTGAGTCGGACTTCGGCACGTTTTCGCTGGAGTCTTATTTTTAAACTATCGAGAATTTTAGTTTTCCCCAGGGAAGTGGCTCTTAAACGGTGTAGACACTGTTTTAAGGGGGCTTGAAACCATTAAAAATATATTTTTGTTCGATTTATTGTTGCCCGCCTTATTTGGATATTTACAATTCTTTATCGTTTAGTTAGAGTTAGCCTCTAAAGTGTTTAGAGTCCAAACAACAAATTTTTGTTTGTTTTGAAACTTTTCATTTATTTCATTATTTACGCTATATTCACGTGATTTTAACGTGTTTTTCGAATAAAACATACGTTCGCCTTACTTTCTGTTATTTTAATCTAATTCACACGTAGTAACTTTTCGTAACTCGAACCATTTTTTAGACCCGTAAGACTCCTAACAGCCCACGTTTTTGGACTCCGGTTACTTCTCGCTACGCCCCTGCCAACACCTAACGATAATAAAAAAAATCGAATTTTTTTAAAGAAGTAAGCATTTAGTTTACCAACCATTCGTAGCAGTCAACTAACGAAGACTTGCATACACCAAATATTTGGTTTTCTAAATTTGCTTCTCTGGGAGTTTAAGTTGGATGTGGGGTTGAAGTTAAAGTTTTTTTTCAACCCTGAGTCAATGTCGATTGTAAATTTCCTCGAATCCATCGACTCTGGTTTTCAGTGGACTTATGTAATTTCGTGCCCGCTAGATGTCGACAAAGAAGCATAAATTCAATTTTGTTAAAACGAGAGAAATTATTGGCAAACACCGTCCGTCTCGTCTGGAACATATAAAAAAGAGAGTAAAAGTGTCGATTTGACCGAGCGGCTGGAACACACACTATATCATGAAGTTAAAAACCATAGTAAAAGCCCGAAAACATACTATTTCCAAGCGTTTTTTAGTCATATAATATAATAACTACTGCCTCGAAATCAGCTGATACGCATTGTTTTTAGCTTTACAGAGTGTCGAAAAACTTTTACGAAAGCCTGCGGCAACAGAAAACGTTCGATTAAATTTTTCGAAAGAGGTTGCGCAATTTTGTAATCGCTTGCTGACGAGTTAGAAGAAAACTGTGCAAACAGCTGCCGATGAGTTCTCTCTCGCATCGCTGTTTTACTAGTTGTAACTTATAGTTGGTAAAGCGCTGTGTTGCGCAATTTATGTAGCAATCTGATCTTCGCAAGTTATGCAATATCTGGAATCTGGAAATAGCGCTGCAGAGGTTTAAAGTTTTATCGGGAGCATGCAAACATCAGTATCTGTGTGAAAGGTTTTTTTTTTTTTATTTCATGTGGGGGAGATGAAAGCCGATAAGACGGAACTTTAATACGACTTAATCTTTTAGCAAACGTATAAAAATTGAAGCTTATAGTGAGAAAACTATGAAAAATTGTGGGAATGTATTTTTCTGTATTTAATTATTGTCTATTTCTCTAAATATGATATCCAAAATTAGCATTGAATGAAGGCAGATACTAACGTAAATACTTATGCCCATAACGGACTTTTATTCTTTCAGATATTCTTTCCAATGCAATCCTTAAGCAATATGTGTACTGTTTGAATATGATTAGCCCAGCAACTTTAAAATTTCCATTCTCGCAATGTGTTACGTTTAGTTTTTAGTTGCAGTGAATAATTTAGCTCTTACATATCAATGATGGTCAACTATATGGAGACTCGTTCGTAGCGAATACACACTATACAATGTCAGTTCGCAATGCCCAATGTTTTGTGAATATCAATTTTCATGCTATAAGTCATTTACATCATTTTTTTCTAAATATAATAAATATTTATTGCATTTTTAATTTAGTAGACACTCACAGCACAACCTCGAACCTTTTAGATTTTGATTTATTTCTTGAATAAATTTTGAGGAACATTAAAAATAATGATTCCTTTTTCTAGTGTAAATTTGTATTTTAAAGACGTCGGCCTACATAGCAATACTGTTTGTCTTAAATATTTACTTATATAGTATGACGTCATCGAGTATATGACGTCATATCGGTAACAAATATGATATAAACTTGAATTTTATTAACAGGTTAGGTATTAGGTGAGACCGGTGAAATTATTTCTCGTAGCGGTCTTAATAAACCTCCATTTCCCGCAAAGTTACTTCAATTTGTCTACGTCAAAAATTTGGAATTTACTTCGAAACGAACCTTCAACGATTCGAATTTGACCGAATTTATCACGATATGATTTTAACACGTAAGACCGGAGTCGAAATGTTGGTAAGTCTAATATTATCTTAAAATTGTTGTTTTTCGGTTGCATATTACTATTACTCGATTTTGTTTTTAGTTGATCGCCGCGGCCTTTCAGCATATAAATAAAGGTTTTAAATTGTGTTGCGCGATTTTTAGTTTATTGAGTTTCTCAGATAGCATACCGATGGTCTCTCTCCCCAAAGTTCAGAAAATTGGTCAAATTTCTGAAGTGGAATTACCGTATCGCAGTGGATAAACTTCCCGTTTTGCATGATTTACGGAAGCTACAGTACTGTACTACATTCCTAGCAAGATTCTCGACTTTTTTTTAGCTATGACACTCGTTGTTTTGCCATAAAGAGCAATATGTGCTTTAAAGACTGCCAAAGATTCCAAGAATTCGAATTTTTGATTCGATTAGAACAAGCACCAAATCACCTTGGACGATCATAAGTTCATATCATAATCATAAGTTCACATAAACGGGGCGTTGGATAAAAGATCCTAAGGCTGGCAACCATATGCTATTCATTCCCCTGATAAAATTTGCCTCTATAGATAAACATTCAATATCTATATTTGAGCGTTTCGAAGAGTAATGCCGGAAAGGTCGCGCTGGTCTGGGGGATTTAAACGCTTCGATATCCCCCGATTTCCGTTTTTATAGGATTATGTCAGTTAAATTTGATAGGTGTGAAAAACCTTGACGAGAAATACTCTAAATTTATTTTTAATCCTCTATGCGGGCGGTTTCGGTGTGATTTTGTTGGGTTATAAATTGGGTCGTATTCGAAATGAGTTTTGTGTTACAGTAAGTATGATTACAATGATTAAAACGGCTCGACAGTTCATAGCGAGAGGTTACTGCCAGATTTATTTATAGTGATGTATCCACCATATGAGAATATCGCGAACTATTTAGTTTAAACAACCTTTCAAATGTCTAAACAAGCGAACATTGTCGTCTATTTATTTCGATGAAGTTTGGTTTCGTAGTTTCGTACAGTCCATAGCGTTACGTATCGCATGTCTCAGTGATGTCGCCAGACGGCGACTAGACGAATGGACTTCAAATCGCTCCTCCGTTCTACGTTTGCTTCAGACCACAGTGCTTTTTTCTGCATTTTCCGCCATAGAGAGACTCTAGTAACTGGAAAAAGGCTCATCTAGTTTTTATATTCAGTAAATATATCGAGCTCAGAGGCGCCAGTTAATTTTTTCTCACTGATAATAAAATATAAGCACTATGCATATTTGAAGACCTGATTTAAACTAGTTAGCATTGCCGAGTCTTGTTGCTCTCCCGCTACTCTACGAATAACTTTTATGCTGAACTTATTTGTAACATAGTGCATTGAGACGCTAAAGATCGAGATACGTACAGAGTTCTGGGTTAGGATAGTTATAAAACTATATGAATTCTATATGAATTGGGATATGTGATATAGACTGTTTGAGTATAGATATAAAACTTTAGGCAAATGGTAAGCATATGAAAGTGAGATTCGTGGTATGTTCTGGGTTAGGATAAATATATAAATTATTTTTGCAAACGGTTGGAGTAAGTATATGAAGTGGGATTCGTGGTATGTTCTGGGTTAGGATAGATATAAAACTTTGGCTAATTGTTAAAGTGAAATACACTAATCCTCTTGTATGCTGTAGACCCGTGTAGCTATTTTGTTAAATTGGCGTACGAGCCCGGAACCTGCACACACTGTAATTGTTAAATCACAATCTTATTTCAGTGCTTGTTTGTTACGTCAAAATGCTCGGAGAATCAGCTGGGAATCTCGCGGTGCCGTAACGAGACCGAATTAGTGTTTATGCAGGGATGGCGCCAAGGCCTGTTTTTTGGATAATATATCTATATATAAGCGGTATAGGGCAGAAGAATACGCAAAGTCGCCAGATTGAGCATTGTATGAAATGACGTTTCAGCTTACCGGCGACGGTACTGCAGTTTACCGGTAATTGTAACGGTGCCGTATCCTTTGTACGTACTTACTGCACGCAGGATCGATATTTTTGCCAATTTTCACGGTATCGTATTTGTGTTTGAACTTTGCTAAATCAGAAATATGAGGCCGCGGAAATTTTTCCTTAACGCCGCCAAAAAAGGTCTTAATTCAGGCCAAAAGTTTTTGTTAGCTCCGATCATTTTGTATAAGATTCGGTGATTTGTGGCCGGTCACAGGAATGTAGTGTAATATTCAAGGTTTTTTACAAATGCTTAACTGTCTTATAGTGAAGTATAGCATTATGACAGTGGGTGTGTGATTGTTGGACTGTGCAGCTTCTGATATGCATTAACAATGAATACAATAAACTTCATTTGGAAATATCGAAATCCGTAGACTCTAGCATATAAATTATCTTGAAAACTTTTTTGCAATCACGCTGGACAATTAATTAAAATCAGGCTGCTTTAAATTTAACAAAAATTAGAGGAAAAACGGTTATATAATTCTGTTAGTAATGATGGGGTAACTCTTAGCTAATCCTCAAGCTTTGTGTAAGCGTACCCATGCCAGTGACTGCAACGAACTCGATTTGTAATCTATGTCGAATTCCAATATGCTAGCTTAACCTAATACGAAGAAAATCATTACAGCAGTTGAGTCTGTGCAATAACCTATGTGTTATACAACTTTTAGGCAATTTGACTGGATGCAGGCTACTTACATAGGGTGTCCATAAAGTCTTAAGACGTTTCAAAATTGCAAACGGAATTTCTCGATACCATATATTGTTTTGGTCCCCACAGACTTATTAAATGAAGTAAAAATACTTAAAAAATTACTGATTAAAAAAAATGGTTAAGATTATTGAGAACTCCTTCTTTCATAACAAAATTTAAATTGTAAACGGACTTTATGAACACCCTGTAGATTAGACAAGTTATTTTATTTCAAATTTCACCATGGTACAATTAATTACAATACACAAGACAAACAGGGCATGAAATTCAAAAAAGTTGCCAGAACTTTGAATGAGGTTTGAAACATGAGCCATAAATGTACTACATGGACACTTTTACTTCCAACATTTTTAATTCGATGAAAACTGGTTTACTGGATTGTGAGAAACTATAACTCATGTTAGTAATACGTCTATATTCTCCCCCGGGGATTCTCTTTCCCATTGGCCGCCTGGGAGCATCTCTGATCCCGGTACAAGTTCTGTTGAAATGTTTGGCAAATTGCCTGCAGGAATAAGGATGAATGTCCGATGTCGCTTTGTAAGGTTAAGCCAACGTATCAGATAACGTAACGGTTATAGCTTCGCTAGGTCTCTGTGCAAGCAAATTCGCTACGAATAAGGCTCTGACCAATGGGCTTATGGAATGTAAAGACACATTCTCGAATTGTAATGACAGCATAATTATCGTCGCTCAAGAAATGTGTGTACTAAAATGAAGGTAACTAATTTTGTTCGCCTACTTTACATCAAGTCACTTGGCTAACACCGACAGAAGAACTAAAATAGGGAAAATCGGAATAAAATTATGGCCCAACCCTAACCTGGTACACACAATACGGGAGTACTTAATTATGGATACATTTCATCTAAAAAGCGATTTTCTAATATTTTGTTGATATCAGATAACGTAACTGTTATGCTGCTTCGCTATAAATAAGTCTCTGTGTATAAGCAGTTTATAAAATTCAAGGGCGCTTTTTGAGATTTTAACAACTAATCTATCGTCGATTTTCGAATATAACGAAATTTGTTTTACCGGATTTCGGGGTCGTATTCGAGAAAAACTCATGGGTTCGTTTCGATGAATCTTTTTTTGATGGAGGGAGGAAATCGTATAGAACGGCGTAATTATAGCATAGTGTATTCATATTTATCCCGGGGAAAAAATACCGATACCGATCCGGGGAGAGAAATTCCAATAAGGACGGTGTAATCATATGGCGAACTAGGGCATATCTTCCAATTACCAGTCGAGCTCTGTAAATGAAACTCGAACTTCGACTTTAAAAGACCCGATCGTAGCGTTTATCACTCGGTAGCCTGATTTAGACATCTCAATGACCGCATTCGAAACCTCAAATCACCGAGTTGTAAACAAATCATTACACCCCCGTTTCGTGTGTTGTCATCTAATTTCTCCTCGACCTAATTTCATGTCATAATTGGTTGGTGTAGTTTTCCTTGAATCTCTTTCCGAAAAAATCGCGAGTTATGCAAAATTCACAACCTCGAAACTGTTCTCCTGTTCGTGTTAAATTCAAGGGATTCAAGCGTCGCATCATCGGTACAGCAGTTCTTGATTTTTCAGCGGTCGCCTTTGCTTCTCTTAGACATGAAATTAGTTTATTGGAGACCTTGCGTTGAGCAAAATCTTTGCAAATATTCAGGTATATTTGTTTGCTGGTTTTCCTGAAGTTGATTAAATTAACCATTGGTAGAAAACTTGTGTGCCATAGATGAGTAACTCTTCCTTATTTGAGCATATATTAATTAGCTTGATGTTTTCTGGCTTTTGTCTTGAGGATTTATAAATCATCGTCTTGTTAGCATTATTGTTTCTTAGTCATACATAGTTACAGGAAATTAGAAAACTTTTTATTGCTTTGATGGGAAATCCTTAGGGATGCATATATCCGTGTAAGACAAAATAGCCAAGCCTTTTTAGGCGAAGTCAGGGTTTGAATCCTGATTGTGTCACAAATCTCTCCTTAGGGACACATACATCAGAAAAATTGGATTCAGTTCTCTCGGCATACATTATCCGAGTATTTTGGATTCAGAAAGACTGTAGACAAGTATCGACCTATATGCGATCGATAACATGTTTCAGAAAGTGTATAGCCCGCTTGTGGGGTGAATGCCCGAAATCGTTATCCTGCCACTCCAGTTAGGTAAACACCCCCGAATTTGGCAATCGCGACTATGTACAATACATTTTTCTGATTATTCGACCCGAAATTTTCCTTTTCTCTGTACCCGCCTATGAGTGATTCATTCATTCGCATTTACGATATGGCAATTTCGTAGTTGCTTTTAGTCATAACAGTTTAGTCATATCCTACTCTGATGTGTTTTCGGAACTTTTACTGCATTTTAATTTGGTCCCGTCTGTTTATAAATATTTTCGACAAAATTTGATTTTTATGATATTGTGAGAAAAGTATTTTGTAGATTTCAAATATTAGAATTTTTGCTATAAATTTTTCTTTGTTAAAGATGGTGTGCACGAACCTCCACTTCACCCAGGGTTTATAATTTAGGTAAACTCATTCATAAACTGAATCGGAAAGGTATCGGTTCTTCCAGGGTCTTATTAGCGCTCTGCATGCGAGTGTCTGCTAATACAATGTCGTGTTAGGAGCAAAATGTAAAACAATACGAAAATGGTATAGATTAGTGTAGTCTTTTTTAATAGTATCTCGCCAATACTTGTCCAGGTTCTTTTTCAGAGCGAGGCTAATCCGAATATTGAATTATTTGTTTTCGCATCGCTGCGCCATTGCTCAGATCTAGACTCATCTTGTCAAGTATTTTGATGTGTCATTTTGATGTGTCATAGTAGGTTAAGTCCCCTGTTTGTTTTGATTAGCCTTGTTTTTGTTCACGATAGACGGAATTAGTCGCTACTCGTTGAACTGACCGTTAAATGGGGTTGGTCGATTTAGTTATGGTTACAGTTAAACTGCTAGTCAATCTATGTAGCGCTTGGTATTGTCTGTCATAGCCCCCCTTTGTCGATGCTTGTCAAGAATTAGCTGTTGACTTGAGCAGGAAAAGTTGATGTTTGAGATAAACTTTCAAGTCGATTTATGTTGTTATTTCGGTCTTAAACATAGCCGTGTTAGGGCAAGTCAAGCCAATGTTTGAGATCAACTGTTATTCGATTTATGCTGACATTTACGGCTGAAATAAACGGACAAATTATCGTTTCGGTGCTTTTTTGTTCCCATTTCTTTGATTCCGTTTATCTTATGTTAAAATAATTTAAAATTGAGCTAACCGTTAGGAAAACGACCCCAAAAAAAAAAAGTTATTGTAATTATTCGCGATTACTTCGATAACTGTTTTACAGTATTTTCGAATATTGTTCATTCAGATATTTGTTCTAAACCCGTCCCCAGACACAAGCATTAATCTGAATACTGCAATAATTTTCTTTATAATCTTTCTAATCAGAGTTTTCTTTATTTCATATCAATTATCCTGAAATTCAAATAATTCTACTGAAATTTGAAACCAAAACTACTGGAAATACTGAATTTCATCGAAACTACAGGAAACTCCAATGACTCGACGGTTCTGTGAATCCCGCATCATGACGGAATATCACCTACGGAAGCCGTACTTCATTAACGCCAACGACGACTTGGTACCTGTCTGTTCCCAGGGCTCCGTCCCAAACGACGAAATGTGGAAAAAATTTGAACTTTATTTGACCCCTCCAAGCTCACCCCCGAGAGAAAACGATGGCCCCCAAGTTCCGGAAATAGAATCGGATAGCACCTTCGCAACCTTAACTTCCGGGTTTGACTTTACGAATTTGGATTTGGACTTTGACCCCAAAGAATTTGAAGACATGCTGAACTGTCAAGGCGAATTGTCTTGCAAAGACAAAATTGTCTGCGATTGTCGAAGCGAACAGCTTATCAAAGATTGCATGTGGAATGGCGTTGGACATAAAGCCTCAGCTGGCTTTAGAAACATAAGAAATAATCGCCGTTCATCTCCCGCTACATCCCACTCCCCATGTCACGCACACGGATGCGTCGACCCAAGGAACATATTCCCGTACCCAGTTGGACAACCAAATTGCTGCGAAAACCAACGAATAAAGATTCCGTCGCCGGCCCCCGTCTCCATCAGACACCGACCCCCAATGGATGGAGCAGAGACACCTAGCGACTCAGGTACCCTTTTTCACATTTTTAATTAGGAATCAATTTATGTTAATCATAAACTGATTAAACATGTAGATATTATCACAAGCTTGAAGCCCTGTTGTAAAGTATTTCATCGTTTTTCTTGGCAGTTCATTGGTTACCGGTAACTTAACTTTGCTCAGAAATGATTCTTTTTCACTTCTGAGTGAGTATGTGTAATGCACTGTCTATAGTTTTAATAGCTCTCGGCGTTCCTGTGGTTTGTCCGTAACTTGGCTCGGAGATGAGTCTTCTTGAGTTAGTACGTTTAATGCACCACCGTTTATGGTTTCAGTGCTTCTCGTGACTTAGCTCGGAGATGAGTCTCCTTTTTTTGAGTGAATACCCATAATAAAATGTCAAGTCTTATCTTAAAAACCAACCATCAAATTTTCGTGAGAGCTTTAAATATTATTTCACAAGCCGCTTGAAAAGCGTTCCGCCATTATAACATCAGAGTTGCGAATTCTAGATGTAGTAAACAGGACATGTCCTTAATTGTTTATTTCCTGATTTAATATCCAATTAATTTATACACGGCCAAGGAGAAACCGCACATAATAAAACAAGTACTGTATTGATATTCGTCCGACACATACGCCGAAAATCTGGGATGTATGGGCCTTATTTGGACGTACGATATGAAAGATATTAAACACGTATCCATGCTTGGGAGGTGTATATAGTGATCTCGACATGTAAATAAACATTAAATAATGTGGCACAGTTGTTATTATTAGGTCACAAAATAACGTAAAATAATTGGTTCCCGCTCATTGCAAATTAGTCCAAGATACTTGTTTACTATTATTATTGTAATGACTATTAGCCATTGTGTAAAATATGTTCGAATTTGGCTGTAAAGTAGAAAGGGGGGATTTTTTCTTTGGACGATCGGAGAATGGGGAATGGAGGCAAATAGTACATTTTTTTCGAGGGGAGATGGGGGGGGGGGTAAAAACTTTAGAATGCTTTAGAATTTTGAGCATTCTAAATTACTAATAATTAAAATAGTGATTGTGTTTTGATTCGTGCTGCAATGTCTTTGCAGCCAGTACATACAGTTCCACTGATGCAAGGACAAAAATAGCGACCAAGCTGCTTGAATCAGCTATATACCAAAATGTTGCGATTTCGACACAGAACGTTTTGTCGTATAGTTCACGTAATCCTCTGCTCATCTTAACACAAAGGTTTAAATATGGCCTCGGTCGACATTAGTAAATCACCGCTAATTCATTGTGCAGTGTGGGAGTCTAGCCTAGTGGAAGCGCTATATCCGTTCTTTATTCTATATTGATAAGGAAAACGTATTTCTGGTTCAAAAACATCACATTCGGACCACGCGCGGGTTGTTTGCGGTAGCGCTTCTAGTCGTGGCCCATATGTGGTAAATTAGGATGTTTTGACTGCCTGGATTATAAATAGGATTATGGTAAATGCGCGGTGGCGTAGTAAATAATATACTGCACAAAATTAAGTTGCTGCTATGTTAATTGCGAATGCTACTCTCAACATGGCTCTCGTAAATCGGCTTTACTACTTTCGCAAGAATCGGAATGTTTTATTCGCAATTTATTATACCATGTGTAAGGTGCTGGACGCGTGTGTTGTACCCGAGGTTTATGACCTGCGAAGCCAATTTAGTTACCAAAGCGTAATAAAAATTGGCGGAAATGTAATGCAAGACATGTAATGCAAGCCAACTGGTAAATATCGCATTGGTTCATAACCTTTTTTTTCATTACATACCATTTTTTCTAGTTTGCAACTTTCTATGCATAAAAATGTCCCGTTACTCTCAATACAGCTTCTCATGGATGTCGAAATTCGTACCATCTAAGATATATTGGTATTGACTACAATGTGATGTATTGATATTCCGTCATTCCTTAAAATATCTCCCGACGCAAAAAATCGATGCTGATTCACTTAGCAATGGGTACACACCGTCTAATCTACACTTTCCAAATCCAAAGCATAGGCTTCCCTTACGGTAGAGTCATACTGGATTTCAAATAATTTTTTCGCCTAAGTACGAATTAAACAAGGCTACTGCTAAAAAAGGAAACTTGATTTTTGATTTTCCATGATATTTCGCATTTTATTTGGCGTGGAATTGAATATTTCAAATCTTCAAAAGCATTCTGGGATGTTAGTAAGCGAATCTTGGGATCACGACTGTGTTGGAATGTCTGGGGTCGGAGTCTAAATTTTCCTTTTCGGATTCGGAGCTGGATCCGGTTTTTCAGTTCCCCCTATACCCGAATAAATGACATCAAACCCATCTCTTTACCAGGAACCCTTATATAAAAATAATTAAATGGACGTTTCTTATCGCCTCGACATACATTAAAATTTGTTAATATGTTACCAAAGTAGCCGTTTTATCACTAACTGTCTCATAGCAGGATGTTTGTGTTTGATAACTTTTTGACATGTTTATTTATGATACTACGCGCACTTTTAAAACTCGCTCCTTACTATAAAAATGTTTGTAAATTTTACCAAAATGTACGAGTTATTGCACTATCTAATATTAAGGTCTCTGGTCTCCAGTCTATATCGGAATTGTATGGGAATCGCAATTTGTAATCCCTAATACTCTAAAAACTGATCCGTTCTATAAAATTAAGCCACATTGGCAGCGTTTTGAAAACAATCATATTCTTATGGTGAAACTGACGAATTTTCATTCATGAAGGCGGCAATTTTGATCATTTTTACAGAATTTTTCCAATGCCTGTAAAACATTTAATTTCCCAATTATTATAATAGACCATTTTTCGATTAACAGCAAGTAGTTTCAAATCTTTATTTCAACGTTAGATATCGCAGTAATCCAATACTACACTAATAAATCATCTAAAGCACGGGTCGGCATACTGCGACTCTCGGGCCAAATGCGGCCCACAAAAAATAATTGTGTTGCCCGCTAAACGAGTATTTAATTCAATTTAATCTGGTACTTTTGAGTAATTTTCAGCTTATACCCGAGTCCCATTTTTTTTTATCTACGTTATGCCCATGGCTTTACAAGGCTCTAACCGCTATATTGAGCTTTCTACTACTAGAGAGCCTATTTTAAATAGAGGTGCGGCCCGCGGTTTGGCCTAGTTATTTGTATTTGGCCCTCCTGTATCAACGTCATCAATTAACGCTTATTTGATTAGATTGAAGTAGCAATTGTTTCGGCTTCACGACTCTGGTGCAAATATACACACCTTGGTAAAACTTCCGTTTCATTTGCGTATTTGTCTTTGATAATTGGAAAGAAAATATCCTTCGTAGTTACATAGAAATTTTGTCTCTTATACTTGTTAAAATTCTCTGATTGGAAAACAATAAAAAAAAAACATGGACGAGATGGGCTACTACCACGTTCCCCAAACTCCAGGGAGAAATTTTGTCATTCTTTGGGAGGAATTTTGCTTGGTATTTGCTGTAGTACAAAATATTAGAACTCTTGTATCAGCGTCTGCATGCTCGCAACCTTGTTCTGTATGAAAGCACTCCATTAATTAAAAACCGTGCTCTTTAAAACACAGTAACCTAATAAGATCCGTATTTATGCCGAGCGAATATCTGATGAAAAATATCAAATTTCAAGCGATTAAGGTATTATTCAATCTTCCTATTGTAATGTAAACCATGATAAATCATCGTTTGCCCAGCGGGGCGAGAAAATTCCCAAATATTATTTCAATGACATGATCGTGTCCACCGCTTTTTTTTAATTTTTCAATCATTGTCTGATTTATAGTGTTTTGGACGCCCGCGACTAAGTACATTTCATTAAATTGCAAGTATTTGCAAATCTTGTATTGTACATAGATGGCCTTTGTATAACCTAGCAAGGTCGGCATTTTCACAAGTCAAAATGCGCGCCTACGGTTTATCCGTCTTAAAAATTTGGGCGTCGGCTGGCCTCTCTGGTCGGAGTTAAAATGAATATAATGTACGCAATTAAAGAGCACAATATCTGTCAATCTTTGGTAATTAGATGGTCCTTTGTACCAGTACATATACATGTTTCAAGTTATACAATACGGGCATATGGTGTGTCCGTTTCAAAGATAACACCAATAATGGCAGCGACATGACGTTATTTTGCCCCACAAGCCGTGCGAATAAGTAGGTTTAGGTTATTGTCCCAACTTTCTAATGTATCTAAACATATCTTCTTTCAATGATTCTGCAATAACGAAATAATACCTCAAGTGCTACTTGGATATTCACCATAATACTTAAAATTTGGGTTCTTTTCTCCTAACAACTTGTTTTCGCCGGCTGGTTACGTTACGTCACCTTTCAGAAATTCTACCACACGCATTTGCGTATTTGGAAATGCACCTCGGGTGATTCACGTTTCGAAGGTTTATGGTTTTTATCAAACCATCGCTTCTACTTTTATGATAGCCTGGGTAATAGGCGTGAATGAATAATTTCATAGATCAAACAACTAAAGGTATGAATATCAAGATTTTATGCGTATTATCCTCAGGGTTTTAACGTTGGTCTTTACTATGTTGGCATCACTGGTTAAAACCCCTCATCCAAACGCTACACCCACCCCCTCACATTGCGATAAATTGGGCAATCAACGTCAAAGTGAAACTATAACGACCAGTAGCCGTATTAAAATCCGATGTATTAGATACCGGTACCTATGCGGGGCAATGCAGCATAAATAAATTGGGCAAGCGGTGCAGAATTTAAACGATTCCAGACCGTCACAAAATTATTGCCCTTACATATCGTTAAATATCAGTGCCCGCATGGCCCTATTCGGGGTTAATTGTACAAATGCCTAATAAAAATGAAACTTATTACACTATGGATAGAAGGGCGTCGTACATTTTGTAACCAAGCCAAGGATCAAACCCAAAACCTACAACTGAAGACTTTCATAACTGAACGATAATAAACATGCCATAGCGTTAGGAATTCGCGGTATGCCACAATCTATGCGGAAAGTCCCGATTTCA